TGTATAGGTTACGCTGTGCGCCCTATACAGGTCATAGATTTTTTGCATCTATACGTTTTAGTACTGCACATAATAATAATGTAACTTATATAGCACACATATCAAAATTCATTGCGCTTCAAAATAAAAGAAATAATACATATCTGACGTATATTAAAAACAATATTAATGGAATGTCACACATAGTGTGTTAAATACTTACAACAGCTATATACACCTAGCTTCGAGCCACTCAGAGAACTAGTAATATATATCTTGACGATATCACCATCCGAGTATCTATTAATATATTATTTACTCCATAATATTTTTTTACTATTTAACTAATTTGTACAATATAGATTTATGCATAATTTTAATTATAAATAATGATTCATATATTATTTTTTACATGGGCTATTTAAAAACCAGGTGCGAAATCTCAGTTGATTTTCAACGAATATCGAGCACAAGGTATTTAAGCTATTTCTAATTAGAACAAGCGTAATAGGTAAATTACGAGCCTTATATTAGATGAAACGACTGAAGAAGAGTGCCATACAAGCCTTTCACAACTTCAAGTCGCGTAAATAATGAGCCAGCTCAGCTAGGAACCGTGGGCAGTTATTTCTAGCTTTTTCTTAGCATACACAATTTTTTAACTTCTGTCAAGGAACTTATTTACCAAGTACAAGAAGTTGCAAAACTCAACTACTTTTTCAGTCGAGGTGTAAAAATTCAAGATGGCGCACGGTGACTAGAGCCGGATTGGCAACCAACCACACAGGGACCCCAACCCCTACATAACAGGGAGAACCCAATACTACCTTTGACTCTGATAACGGCTTTCTTTAAGATCTTAAGTCAGGGGATATATTCTTTCATAGGCGGCGAAAAGACTCAAGTTTATCGTGTCTCAACCATCGACTTCTCTCGTCTTGAGTCTTTTTGTACAGCGGTCTTCGATGTAGTCGACAACGTTTGATCAACACGTTGAGTCAAGGCCAAATTTGAATGGGTTTCATTACGTGAATGGATGCCATTCTCCCAAGGATTCCGACGAGAGCACAGAGCCTTCTGAAGACCCCGTCTAAATCTTCTGTCTCTTATAGTATAAACAATCGGGTTTATAAAGCTGTTCGTTAAAGCTAGTGTTAGTCCAAGATTGGCTAACCAATATGGTGCCAACGTCTGACCAGTCAGGATTTTCCAGGATGTACCAAACGTGTATGGTAACCAGCAAAAGCAAAACGCGCCGATGATTATAAGAATAGTTTTATGAGCCTTTTTATCTCTCGCTGGTCGTGGAGATGTCCGTTTACCCGTGTCCTCGGTGCCGCTGCTAGCGCCGTGTGACATGGAGAAGTCTTTAGCGATCTTCTTTGATTGATCCTCTGCAACCCGGAACATCCTAAAATAGCTGTAGATGGTTACTATGACAGGAATAGCAAAGCCGAAAATCGCTAGCAGGATTCCGTAAACTTTACCGGGCGTTTCAATTGGCGCGAAGTTTGGTCGACAAGTGTGTGTCGTGACATCAAAGAGAGTCTCGCCCCAGTTCCACAGGGGACAGGAAGCCCAAAAGATAGAGTGTAGCCAAATGAAAGCTATCAACATCTTGGTCTTTTTCTGCGTCATGCGACCATAATACCTGCGTTAGAATAAATGTGCACGATAATTATTTACGTGGCTCTCTAAATATCAAAGGGACATGGTAACAATGTTGTCGCGCATGGAATTGTGGGTCAAAATTCAGAAACGCGGACAAAARACTCCACCATCTTGTTCCCCAAATAAATTCAGTCATAGTTGAAAAATAAAAATGTATCTGAATTTAATTGATTTAACCAATGAATCGTCATTTCTAGTCTCTGACACCTGAATTTTGATTTTAGTTTCGAAACATGATTATGTCCAATAGCTACTGACAGTGGTCTAACGGGTTATCTTAAATAATCAGTCTTCGAGACAGCTAATGGTGCTAGACAGCCTTCTTCGAAATATTAACCCTGCAAATTCTTAATAAGAATATTGATATTCATTTTGAAACCAACTAAACGACTTCGTATCTGACCAGTATCTAATAGCTAAGGGCAGTCTAACAAGTTATTGTAAATAATCAGTCTTTGATACAGGTGATGGTGCTAGACTTTTCTGGAAATATTAATCTTGAAAATTCTTAATAAAAATGTTGGAAAAGTAGTTTGTCTAGAAAAGTGCACACAAAACGAGTTAACTGGGATGCTACAAAATACTCGAAGAAAAAGGGTTCAAATTAGTGGTGTTGAACATTTTTGCGATTTTCTCACTACTGTGAACTATGATTTATCCCCCTCAATTTCCAGCAATTTCAATTGGTACTATTGGTATCGTATTTTACTTAAACACATCTTTACACAGCTTCTCAACGTTCAATATCGAAAACTATAGTTAAAGACTTTATTATTATTATCACTATTCCCTTGGTTTCCTTGTTATGTCGTATCCATGACAACCGAGCTCACTTCATATTCTCTGGTTATGATAAAATACTGATACGATAATTTAAAAAAATTATAGCAAAATGGTAAGAATCCTTTATTTAATAATATCAGTGCAAATATATCTACCAATGACGCTGTTTCGATGACGACCCATGAGGTCGTATTTTTGTTTCCATAGTCAAAGTGAATTCAATTCAAGAATTCATTAGAAAGCAGTTTATTAAATATGAATGAACTAAATTGTCCTTTTTCTGCTCATGGAATGACGTTGCCTGAGGCCATGTTTATAAGAAGAGCCGACAACATCAATAAGGTTCAATTACGTATTTTCAGTTTCTTCCTTATTTTCCTTTTTCCTTTTTCCGTCAAGACATTAATGTTATTTTTTTTAGCGTAACTTAGCCTTAAGACCTAGCTACCCGCTGATCAACAAAATAGGGAGTTTTCACGTCTTGAATGGCATTTCAAACACATTGAATTCTATTGCAGGGTTTTTCTTCGGAATACATGTGGGTAAGCTTAATGCAATACGTAAGTCTCCGCGATTTCCGTTTACAAGTGCCATTTCTCGTTTGTTATAGCATTGGTGTTGGTTTTCTTTGCATTTCGTCTTAATAATCCTTACTATAATGAAATTAACTTGACCAGGAAAAAAAAAATTCACGTAATTACGTTACCTAAGAAAAAAAGATAGTTATTCTTGCTCTAACTGAACTTTGCGCATCACCTTTTAGGAAATTTTAAGAATTAAAATGCATGGAAAATTTCGTAAAAAGAAAAAGAAAAAGAGACAAGAAAAAACAATAAACTTTCAAATTTAAACTAAAAAAAAAAAACGAGAAAACTTACGTGGGGAAATTATTTGAAACGAGGGATTGCGCACAGGCGCAAGTCGAGATTTTTTTCGAAACTGGCATTGGGAATCAAGGTTGGTGCATGTAGCGGTGATGCATTCGCCTCTCGCGTTCGATTCCTAGACTCGACATCACTTGTGAATAGAGTCTCTTCCCTGAGTCAAGGGTTTTCCTCGGCTCTACGACAAAATTAAAATTAACAAGTATACATTCCAGTTCGCTCTTTTGGGGCTCAGTAGCCGTGCCCTGACTTAGATCAGCCCAGAGGTTGTTTCAGGGTTCTATCTGTGAGTTAGCCATGCCCTGACTTAGATCAACCCAGAGGTTGTTTCAGGGTATGCCCTGACATAGATCTGCCCAGAGGTTGTTTCAGGGTATGCCCTGACTTAGATCAGCCCATAGGTTGTTTCAGGGTTCGATCTGTGAGTTAGCCATGCCCTGACTTAGATCAGTCCAGAGGTTGTTTCAGGGAATCAATAAAATTTGAATTTGACGAAGGTCATTTTACCTATCATAGCAATCAAGTCGAGTTGTTGAAAGTAGCACCAGTTTTCATATTTAGTAAGTGTGTAAACAAGCTAAGCCTATAGTAGCCGGCTCATTTTCACGTCAAAAATGAACTCAGTTTTAAATGACTGTACTGTACATTTGCAGTCCAGGGTTTTGTTTGTTTTTTAATTATATTGATCTTAATGTCAGGGAGATCAATTGAGTCCACCTTTCTTGAAAAAATGAGTAGTCCTGCTTCAAAGCTGCTTATACACTTCAAAGCTGCTTAAAAATTTCACTTCACGGCTAACAGCATGCGTCATTTATTGAGTCAAAAAGCTGTGCACAAAATGGCTCTTAGATATTTTTGTTGTTCTTCAGAATCAAGAAAGCATAACAATTGTAAACATGCAGAATATATTGTGTGTTTGAATCGTCACTAATTCTAGTTTTACGCGGTTCTTAAGAGGAAATTGAAGTTGAAAAAAACAAAGGTAGAGGGAAAGTGGACGACTGAAATAAATTTAAAAAAATAATTGTTCTTCCTCTGTTATTTTTCCCGTTTTCATAGCATGGCGCTTAATGTGTATTAATCTGATCGTCTTTGATATATCTTCGACGATATGCTAATGAAACGACTTCATTATGAATTTATATTTTTAGAAATAACATATTGTTTCTTACGATACAGCTAGAAGCAAAGCTGACCTATAGTTTTCAATACTGTTCATTATAGCTTAATCCTTACCTTAGAGGATCAGAGATGTCGAGAAATCTATCCACGCTTACAACGCATAGAGTCATAATGGAGGCATTGAAACTTGTAGAGACTACAAACGCGTGAGCTCTGCACAAAGTTGAACCAAGGACCCAAGCTTGGTTAAAAACAGATACAATGTAGAATGGGACATAACCAACCCCTACCAATAAGTCAGCTACAGCCAAGTTTCCCAGAAAGTAAAACGTAGGGCTGTGAAGTCGATGATCAAGTCGAATCACCAAAAGTACTGTGGGGTTACCAATGATGATGGCTAATGTTATAATCACCAGATAAAAGACGTGAAATGTTTTTTCAGAGACGTTGGGTTCATAGCTATTAACTGGGTTTGTTAGATTCATGGTCTTGGAGAGTTTTTGGAGGCTTGCTTCCAAGTGACCGACAAACTGACTGGCCTACGGTCTTTATATATGCTAATATATCTGAAATGTTGATTAGAGTCTGAATGGGCTGGATTTCCCGCCGCGAGATCCACTTAAAAACTTGCTTCAAGCGCGAACAGATCCAAGGCATCTATTTTCTTTAGATCCGGTATATAGTGAAGCTGACAGCGGTTATCTAAATAATCCGAAGGAACTATAGAACATTGGTGCTTTTCTCAGAGTCTTTCAATCCAATAATTGAAAATATCAGACTTCCCTGTCTTCCCTGTCAGTGGTAGTCAATGACCACAAAAGGTTATCCACGTCACTAGAAAAGAACAATCAAAAACCTGCAACGAAAAGAAGAAAAATAAACGTACTGAAAACAGCGGTGGTCAAATGAAAGGTCATGAGCATTATAACAGCATTAGAAATGTTATACCAAGACGTGCAAATGTATCAAACGACATCGTTCTAGGAATAAATGTCTAGAATAGTCTTTAACCTTCCTTTTTGGCATACGATAATTTTATATACTAAAGGTCATGAATGCGTAGGTATTGCCTTTCTTCCGAAGTTTGCCTTCGAGGTAAATAAAATACGGACCTTACATTTAAAGAAATATCATTTCAAAGGTGCCCAGAGGGGAAAAACTAATCGATTTGTGGGCGAATATACCTGTAACTTATGATTACTTTGTCAGTGTTGATTCATTGAGCTGCTTTACAGAGATCATAATTCCGCATAATCCTTTCGTCGTCTGCCGGTTTATTTATATATATACATTCATTTCTCATTAACTCTCTCCTCAAAAGTCCATAATTAATTATAAAACTGTCAACGAGTTTCTCAAATCTAGTGTTTTTAAGTGTTGTTGTCGTAGAAATTTGAAGTTTGCCTGCCAAAGTTGACAAAATGTTTGTATTAGATAAAGTTTTCAGAGCTCTAGTCGTTTCTAACGCCGAAAGACGAAAATAATGTGTTTAAAAATAAAGTGTATGAAAAAGTCCTTAAAACTCAGACAACCTTAAAAATCATTATTAGTTTTACTACTTTAAATGTGGGCATTTGAAATCGTCTAGAACGTACGATACTATTCAACAGGAAAAACCTATTAATTACATTTGTCAACATTCTCGTTCACTCTGTTTGTTTTCAACTCAACCAGTTTCGTCAGTTTTAAAAATATTTTTAAGAAGCTCTCACATTTCTTTAGCTTTGAAAAGTACATTTTGGATTTCATGATGAATGACATCAATCATTCCGCCGCTTCCTCTAATCAGGAAGATTTTCTTTTTTGTGACCTAAATTTGTTTTCTAATTCACTATCTTCACCTTAATGTTAATTGATCTAGGATTAAGAGTAGCAATATAACAAACCACGCGTTTTTAGGGTAAATTAAGTGCTGAACATCTTCAAATAGAAGAACGTTTCATGCCAGTCTGGAAATAACTGGACAATTACTGGAGCCTTTGTTGACTTCCTAGTTCAAATTCAACCACATTTTTGTATGTAAAAATGCTCGAAAACCTTAATGCTCAGAAAATTACATTTTTTGCTAGATTTGTTGCCAAATCATTACCACATTCGTATTCCTCATTTAGAAAATTGCCCAAAAGGCGAAAGTTCATAATATTCGATATTATAATCACAAATTGCTTCATCAAAAACAAGTTGTTTTGATTTTTCATTTCTAAATCAGCGTTAAATTGAAAGTCTGTTGTTCAATTACCAATGGTCATGATTTTCGAGTTAAATAAATAAACTTAGTTGATGTCGCACGTCGATACATTTTCATCATAAACTGATTCTACACAAAAAATGATTTTGGAATTTCCAAAATAAGTGCTCAGTGTTTAATTACTTGATTAAAACGAAATAATCAAACAATGAGAAAAAGTAAAATCGTCAAAGTAAAATCGTTCAACAAATTTTCAAAACAAGTATGAAAAGCCGGGCCACGTAACACGTGTTGAAACCTTTGAGTTTTGCTTTAACTCGAAGATAGTCTGAAATTTAGCGAGTTGCATAGATTAAAAGAGGCTAGAAAATTAAGAGAATGCTAGTAGTCTTGCATTTTTTTTTGTTGGATGACCATTAGACAAACTGAGCTTTTGTCATTGTTTTTTAATCTCAAGTGGAAATATATCGTTCTTATTGCTTATTGCTTGAAGCATCACCGAAAATAAGGTGTTGAGACCTTATAACTTTGGAGGTACTAAAAGGCAATCAGTGGCAAGCCAAAGCGAAAAAAAGTTGGAATGAAAAGCATTAGACTTAAAATGACGGAATTTCGTGAAAAATTAGTCGCCACATTAACTAACAAAAGAATGAAATATTGAAAGAGATAAATCAAGTTCGCTGTTGAAGGCTTTTACCTTTTCAATATAAGCCGTGATCACTTTTGACATTTTGAATGAAAGAAATATTAGAAAACGACTTAATGGACATTTGCTTTTATTCTGCCGAAACCTCGCATAAAAACTGTTATATTTCATTATTTCTATTTTTTAGGTAAACTGGATTCAGTTCCCAGACCATAAAATACCAATCGGACTTCTACTGCTTCAAGATATCATCATTAGTCTCGCTTTTAAATTTTCTTATTCCTAAAAAATAGGTCTTTTTTTCTTTACCTCGAGTGACTTCGGATTCAAAAACAGGAATCTCTAAATCATGCTTTTAATTTAAAAGGGTTTTTGTCATCCGTTATCATGAAACCCGTTCCCGCGAGCAAGGGATTTGAGTTGACTCAAATCACATCCACCCAACAATGAGCTCATTTTGCTATTTGTTTTTTCTTCGTATATTTTTCTACGTAAAGATAGATAAACAAAATAATTAAAGAGTCGAACTTGACATTACAATTGCTAGAATTTACTGCAAAAAGTATTAAAATTAAGATGATATGATATACATATATATATATATATAAAAGAAAATATGCCGTGCGTCAAAAGCAATATAAAATTGAAATTTATCGCTCTAGGGGTTTGAATCTTTATAAACAAAAACGAAAGATAGATAAAGTAAATAAATAATAGAGCTAGCACTGGATTATTCGCAAATGTTTTGCATCAGCACAAATGTCAAGGTCTCCGAAAAATAGATAAACTAAAAAATAAATAATAGGGGTTGGTGCTAGATTATTCGCCGATTTATAATTACCGCAAAATGTCAAGGACACTTTTTATTGTTTTCTTAACCGATTTGAAATAAAAAGACTGACTGTCTTGATCTCTGTTTCTTGATGCCTCAAGGGAGGTTGTGAAACACTATTCTTGACTGTGTTATTTCGTGTTACCAAAGTATACTTTTTCTTATCTTTGTTTGTTTATCTGAAAGGAAGAACGTCTATGCTCTGTGTTGTCCTTTCGGCGATGAAACAAGATAATGTTACGTGCCAAGTATCTTTTACATGACACTTGATCTGTAAGCGTAGGAGTTAAGATCATTTTTATAGGAACATTTAATGAATGAATATAAGAAGGCAGGTCAGTTAAGGCGTCATTTTGATTCATCCCGTCGCAACGATAACGCCAAAAAAAGAAAAAAGAAAGAAATAAAANAAATAAATACCAAAACAAAAAACAAAGGAAATACAAAAGCAAGGGAACGAAAAATAATATTTACAGCTTGCTTTTCTTCTGGATTATTTTGCTATGAAACAGCTAAAAAAACGCAAAAGACAATTAAAAACAACAACAAAACAACAAAACAAAATAAAAAACGGCGAGCGATGATTCGAAGGTGCTGGAATCAAGTTGAACGAACTGGACAACAGAAACCAAACCAAAGTTCCTGTTCCGAAAATGATTACGAAGTCCTTCCGAGGCGGTTCCGAGAAGTTTCCGGTGAAAGTGATGACTTCATTTTCCATGTTTTTTAGTGGCAAGCGGGCAAGCTGGGTTTTCGTAGATYTTTTAATTCCCTTGTATTACTTTTGCCCTTGTTAATTTTTCAACTCATTTCAACAGCAGCTTTTTAATAATGAATGAAAAAATGAGAGCGTTTCAAGTAAAACAATGCCATTGTGCTGTGCTGTGCTTCTCTGTGCTTTTCATTTATTCAGATTGGACTTCTTTTTAGTTTGTTCTCTTTTCTGTTAGCGCTTTATGAGGTTGTAGTTATTATGATCACTTGTTTAATCCATTACAAAGAAATAAGCGTCTCCATTATCAACCCAAAAATGAAAATTATACAACGTCATATTGGGTTCCTTTTGAAAGAATTTATGGTTCAAATTTTTTACGCATAATCCGTATAGTCTTTTTATCTTTCATTCGCAGAGAGAAACTGAGATGTCCTTTGTCTTAAGAAGTAGTATAACATGAGCCCACTCCCAACGAAAGGAGCAAAGGAGCAAATACTTCCTACTGAAAAAAAAGAGAAAAACTTACCTCACAATACCTCGCGAAACGACGTTACTGTTGGCGTACAGCCGAAGCTAAGCTCAAAGATAAACGTCCTTTATTATAAGCTCTTGCAGTTATGGTACTACGGAAAAAGGAAAAAATTAGAAACAGGAAATGAAGRGCGCCCTTCCTCTGAATTAATGGAGAATAAAAACACACTCCCAAATATTAATAACGCCAGCAAGCCGCCGAATAAATACATAATTTGACGCCCACACGAATACAGATAAAAATCTTTAGACATAAGTATTAGTAGAAAACAAACAAAGTGGTTTTACGTTTTTACAAATCGATTAATAATTTTGGCAAATCAACTGACTTGGAATTCAATAAATCGTTATATGTTAGCACGATGTTCTTTTGTTAAGGCTTAGGGTTAGGCTGCGTTCATAATGTATGGCAGAGGGGGAGAAAACTTACAAGAAAATGGGAGGGGGGGGGGGATTTTGATTTTTCTATCAGAAAAATGTGGGGATACAAAATGTTCGGTATCAAAGAAGCTACATCTTGCTTGGGGGATTGCTAATTTTTTTGAGAATTGTGAGAGGGGTGTTGATAATTTTTTTTTTTTTTTTGCATTTAAAATTTTCACCTGCAACCCCCCTCCCTCTGCCTTACATTATGAACGCAGCTTTAGCAGAAAAGAACGTGAAAATAGAGCTAAATCTACCATTAATAACTATTTTTATCAACAAATTCCGGTACCCTGAAAGAAGAGGGTCATTTTCTTCCTAGGCGTTCCGTCTAGCCAGGTAATATCGAACAGGATTTTACTCCCGGAAGACTTGAAGGCAATTCTAAAAAAAAAATATAAATCAGAATTTGGTCGTGTAGTTTATTAAAAAGGTCTGTCTTGTCTTGTCTAAGCTATACAGCACTTATATATAAATGCTGAAAAATGCACAAAAAAAAAAAAAAAAAAAAAAAAAAAAACGACGTCGTCCGTCATTTGTTCGCAATAAAGGCACATGAAATGCGTTTTTAGAAGAAAATTATAGAAATTGACTTTTTGTAACGGTGAATTATATCCGCCAAGAGGTCTTTAAAAACAATTATATAAGAATTTCGAAATCATTTTGTCATTTTACGCTGCCTAAATGAAACTAATATAAAATAATGAATCAATACCCAAGCAAAATGGAGTTTGGAATTTTCTTTGACCCCATTCGGTTAGATTAAAAACCATGATGAAGCCGTTCGACGTCTGCTACCGCATCAATGAGCCAATCATGAGCCAGCAAAAGTAATCTATATTTTCAATACAACTGTTTGTATTTTAACGCATCATATCAGTGTGATATCAAACGGGGAAGAGAACGAAAAGGCCATCACGTCTGTTATCTAATAAGCGGCACAGTTATGATTGTTTTTAAAATATCTTAATACCTTATTTTAAAACATATGACATGTATTATATCTGATATCATCCAAATCAGCCTTCATGTATTATACATAATTTTGTGTCTAATCGTTGATTTATCATGCGCAGATTAGTCGATATTTTCAGCAAAATGTTTTTTATCATTGTTACTAATCGTATAAAATAACTAAGTTTTAGGAGGTATATCTGTAAAAATAAGACAAAATTCAAAAATCGATTTCGTATATATTTGGTCCAAACAGGTGGAATACCACCTAAATAAACGTACTGCTTTTCCGATTTTTGATAATTTCACTTTTCTTTTGAGAAAATCGAGAAAATCGATTTTGGCCTTCGAAGGTGCATGGTCCAAATGGTAGGTCTGGAAAAGGCGCTCGCTTTTAAAGAAGACTAATCTAGAGGAGATCTGAGCTAAAATATGAATAGTGCCGAAATGCGATATCATAAGTGATCAGGGACTATTTACAAACTACATTTTTCGGGTTCTCAGATATTTAAATTTCACCCTTTATGGTTTGCAAAGCGCATTAGTTCACAGGGTGGTCAAATTTTAGGGCATAACTGTATACGAATTCTCGAATTCAGAGAAATTTGGGTCGTTTGGGCTTGGCATCGAATGAAACCTGTTCGAGCAGACTGAACTATACCCTTTAATGCATTTTCATTATATTCAGTTCTGAAATTTATTTTTATATTATTATTTATATTATTATTATATTATTAGCATCGAATGAAACCAGTTCGAGCAGACCCTTTAATACATTTTCATATGTTCAGTTCTGATATTTGTTTTAAATCATTATTTGTTGAATATTAAGTGCAATACATAGCATTTCTTTGCCCTTTTTCGAGGTTTTATTAAAATACTGTGTTCAGACTATAGAAGACACTATACGACCAAGTGATCAGAACTAAAAGATAAATTGCTTCATTTATCAGTGTTTATACCTAGTACTGGACTGGAATTCGGGTTATATGATTTTTGCTCACCGTATACCTAAACCTGTTTTTGAACTTTTATCAGAAAACAATCCGGCGACCAGCTCATTATCTCTGTAAGAGGCATGGACAGAGGGCTTGTTTGTGCGTCGCGGGAAATGCGAAATACCTGGCCCTTTTGTGGTCCTTTGGGGAAATGCAGTGGTCGCAGTACCATATAAACAGAAATTTATAGCCATGCCATATATAGAGAACTAGTGTACCGATATTCGAAACCGAGTGGAGTAAGAGCTCGGTGAACTGTTCCCAGGCAGATTATCGATTCAGGAAAAATATACTTGATTCTTCGGATCGAGATTGCTTACCAATTAACTCAGGTTAACTGCTGAATATGAGCAAAAGGAATTAAGTTGTCAACTCTTTCTAAAAACATATTAGTGCCAAAATTAATATAAGGTGTTTAAAAAAAAAAAAAAAGAAAAGAAAAGAAAATCATATCTAGATAAGATTTGATTTGATTTTTGAGTGAAATAAAATATAAAAAATCGACTCCACTGTGCCATACCCCCGAGACATCCGCAGAGCTGRGGCGTCGTATGGACTTCGGACCTGACGGCGATTAAATCCTTCTGCCCTTGGGTGTACGAATTACGCAAGAAAATGTTCTAGCCGAAGCATCAGGGGAGAGACCAGCCGGCCCCCAGACCATATCGGCTAATCCCTTGCATCTCTGCCACGCACGGAATCGGTTGAAAAAATATTGTTAAAAAGTCTAGTCTATCTGGTGCATTGTTTTCASGGCTATTGTTATGCTGATTCACCTGGAACCGTGGTCCAGTGGAAGAAACTTGGGCTTTAATGACACTGAGTCAAGTCCGGTTGAGCAAAGTTAGTACCTGGATGGGTGACCTGAAACTGATGCCTACTGAAAGTTAGAAAGAAAGAAAGAAAGAAGAAAGAAAGAAAGAACGAAAGCCGAAAACTGCGACAGAATAAAAGAGAATAGTGAAAAGGAAAAATAAGAGAAAAAGAAAAAAAGAAAAAAAGAAAAAAAGAAAGAAAGAAGAAAGTGACGGAGTGAAAGTACTGGGAGAATGGGTCATAATATTTTACGCATGCGTAGTTAGTTCAGCCGAAATCCAAGATGGCGGCCTCTGCKATGTGTTTTCGTCAAGTTGGCCGTCTTTTAACCAAAAATGCCACTCTACGAAGTCTCCCATCCGTTTCTAGTGTTAGGTAAGCATTAAAGGAAAGCACCATATTCCCACACAGGCAATTATAGTTTTTATACTGGTTATCGTTTTTGCGTTTTATACCTCTAATTGTGAGCTTTGTACAAGACGAGGTACAAGTGTTTTATAGTGTAGTGTTTCCTAAGTAGCTCCAACGAACATGGTTTTCTACGTTTGTTTCTTCAATCACTTATTACGCTGTTATAAGATACTATGTTTGTAAGGAGATAATTAGATAATCATAGAACCTGTTAAATAACACTAAAATACGACGTAATTATGATATTTGAAAACCGAGACTGCACGACTAGTAAGCTTAACTGTTACATAAGTTTTACTAACTGCATCATTAAACTCGATCTTCAAGTTCGTTATTTATACTTTATATTTGAGATTTACTTTTGCAAAACAGTCTCTTGGTAACAATTATAATACATTTTTATAATATTTATTAATGATTACATATATCTTAATAGATATCTGCGTCGGCTACCAGAAGCAGAAATTCACAAGGAAATCCAAACAGAAAGGTTGCCTGGTAAACTAGCAGACATGACGGGAACAGTTATGTACCCAGATGAGAAGTCTGCCAAATGGGATATAGATGGTAAGAGGGAAAAGGGAAAGGGGGGTGGAGATTGAGTTGGTAGAACCATCATGATTGGAAAGCACGGATGGTGTGTTGTTGTGCCACATCTCGGGTTCTATCCCCAAACTTGCCATTGCATATGAGTATAGTTACTTGTTAGCTCTCTTGTGTGTCTTTCTTCTCTTCACAATTCAACTTTCCAATATGATCATGAAATGAGGGCACCTTTGCCAAGTTCTTAGCCACTGCCTGGATTTTGGACCATCATTTGCCAACAGCCATGTTGTATGCAGAAAAATAAAATCAATTTACTCTTGGGTATTTGAAGTATTTCTTTCTCATGTAAAATGATGGTAATGATCATGACATGTAACACAGCTGCTATCATATGATTGTGCAAAATCTCTTTCAAGTGCTACCCCTATAAAACAAAGATGGTTTATTTTTTAATGAGAAAACTAGTTGTAAGAGAAAACGTTTTGCTGTCATCTTGACAACATCATCAGGTCTAATAAGTTTTTTATAATTTTTTTATCGTATTAAATTTCCCTCTGAATAACACCACTCTCTCCCAAGGTGTTATCATAGGATGTCCTTATCCATTATTTATGAATTTATTGATGTGATTATAGAACCAATACCAGAGAAGATGGTAACAAACATGACTATCAACTTTGGTCCCCAACATCCTGCGGCTCATGGAGTGCTCAGGCTTGTGTTGGAACTAGATGGAGAGGTAAAGAAAAATATATTACAGCATGACTACATAACCAAGGCCTCCCAGATAGATTCCTATACAAATTAGCCAATTAAGATTAAGTATAGAATCTGCACAAATTTTTCACCTTTTAAAATATATATTCTACTTTTTATATGTGTGTGTGATCAGGAGTTAAAAATAAAAATTCTAAATTCCAAAATTTATTACTACCCTTTTCAGCATAAAAGCATGATTTGTGGATTTTTTTWAAAAATTTGTTTGGGTGGCCTTGGTTTATGTAATTTATTGCACTATAATATAAAACGAATATTATCAGAATGTCTTTTGTGATGGTTTTGTATATTCTATTAGCATTCATTTGTTGACTATATACATTTTGCTATCATAAATTGTTGGGGGTATTTGTAGGTTGTAGTCAGAGCTGATCCTCATATAGGGCTGCTACATCGTGCCACAGAGAAGCTCATTGAGTACAAAACATATCTTCAGGTATAACATCTTTAGAATTATTATTTTTGAGAGAAATATATGAGTATTGATTGATTGATTGTTCTTTCATACTCAAGAAAATTAGGCCTTCATTTTCCTACCTCTGCTCTACCTCTCCCTATACCCTACCTTCCTTACTTCATTTTTTTATAAATTTACTGATTGATTCAATGGTTTGTTGGGTCCTTTCTTAATCTGATTAGGAAAGGTGTAGCTCAGTTGCTTAGTGTGCACCTTCAGAGCTAGAGGTCCATGATTGATTGCGCAAACACTAGACCCTACAGTTTTGAAGTAAAATAAATTAGCTTTATCTTCACCTTTTACAGCTATTTTCATAAACATGCTGCCTCAGTGCTCTTGAGTCACACTCTGAAATTTGGTTTTTCGCTCCTGTCAATCAAACCTAATCAGTCGGTAACTTTCATATTTTTGACTGACGGCAGTGAAAAACCAAATTTCAGCGTGCAACTCAAGAGTACTGAGGTCACATGATAATGAAAATAGCTGTAAATAAACAAAATAAAATTTAAAATTTACCACTTTTGAATGTACACTGTACCTTCATGCAGGCACTGCCATACTTTGATCGACTGGATTATGTCTCTATGATGACAAATGAACAAGCCTACTCCCTTGCTGTGGAGAGATTACTAAACATTGAGATCCCTGAGAGAGCTAAATGGATTAGAGGTCAGTTTATAATATTTTTATACTTCCACCTGTCTTGGCATTGACAAAATTATCATATGTAACAATACTAGCATTCTCCTCAGTCATTGGTCTGACAATATATATACGATAACATGATACATATTTTAACAGATTGCACAATCTAATGGTTTGTTTTTTTTAAATAGTTCTGTTTGGAGAGATAACAAGGATTTTGAATCACATAATGGGAGTAACCACACATGCTCTAGATGTTGGTGCCATGACTCCATTCTTTTGGATGTTTGAGGAGAGAGAAAAGGTAATAAGGATTGTGTCTATTCTGGTTAAAAGCCTGAACAGCCCCCTGTTGGCCTAGTGTCAGGGTGGTTTTTCAGCCATTAGAGGGTAGTTTGTTGGGTGTTTGACACTAGTTTTTCAAGAGTTTGATGCCAGTTCATCAGGCATTGGATAAATAATTTTATACAGTATCTAATAGTATGTACAGAAAATCTAATGCTAAGTTTATTTTTTAGTTGATGGAGTTTTATGAGAGAGTATCTGGTGCTCGTTTACATGCTGCTTATGTAAGACCTGGAGGTGTTTCTCAGGTTGGTAGAATGATTTGAATGATATTATGCAACTCTTATAACTAGTTTATATATTTCAAGATATACAGGTTTTTGGATTCTGTCCAGTAAGAAATACTAACTCAAGCAGTTAGAAAATTAATTGACATAAACCCCCAAAAAATACCTTGAATTGTAACAAGTCGTCAGAATACAACGATGTTGCATTAATTCATTTCAGGATATGCCTCTGGGTTTGATGGACGATATTTATGAATTCATTGAGAAGTTTCCTCAAAGATTAGATGAAGTGGAAGAGGTATGAGATATCTCATATACAGTTTGTTCATTACCTAGGATAAAAATGTTGGGCCACCTTTAATTTGAACCGATGTTTTTATCTTACATTTAAATCTATTTTTCAGAGCTAAAACTAAAAGCTAGTCAACCACCGGTCATTGTGACTGGCCAAATTATTTTACTTTGGTGATACCTCATTTCTTGCTGGTCAAAACGACCAGCAAGGCAGACATTGACCAGACAAGTTCTTTTTCTGGTAGAACATTGTCCAATGACCAGCTGCTATTTTTAGCTCTGATTTTCTAAAAGTAAGGAGTTGAGGTGATTTAAAGTTGTAAAGTACTAACAAGATTCTTTTAATTAGATGTTGACGAACAACAGAATTTGGAAACAACGAACAGTTGATGTTGGTGTGATTTCAGCAGAAGATGCTCTCGCTTATGGAATGAGGTGTGTGATTGACTACATGACCATATTTCATTGTGGAGATTTCCATTACTGTTTTCAATGCTAGGTGCTAATCAAGGTAACAGTGGTGATTGAGAAATTGGGAAACCGATGTAAAGTTAGATGGGAACTATGACAAAGTATATGGTAGCAATATATTATTTGATTTGATTGACAGTAGTCTATTGGCTGATTTCTCTTTTTTATGACTGTTGTCTTGATCAGCACATAGCATTGAAAACAGTGGTAAGATAAGGCATCTTAATTTCTAAGGTAAACTCCTTTGATTTTGGAGATTTAGAGAGACCTATCTCTGGCACGAGGCCTAGGGTCACCTTACCTTCAATTGCACTTATTTCAAAATTACGTGACCTAGATGGATTGAAAATGGGTGTAAAGTCCTTTAAAATACTGATAAAATGGGTGTAAAGTCCTTTAAAATACTGATAATTTGGCAGACAACACGTTATGGTGTTGATGTTCTGACATATATTGGTGTTTGTTGGCAGTGGTGTAATGCTGCGAGGATCAGGTATCAAGTGGGATCTGAGGAAAACACAGCCATATGATGCATATGATAAAGTGGATTTTGATGTTCCCATTGGAAAAAATGGTGATTGCTTTGACAGGTGAGAAACATAAGTTTTCAGTTACATAGCTGGTGTCCCTGTTAGGTGGGTGTCCTTGTTAGGTGGATGCACCTACTTAGAGGGTCACAAGAGAGCATAAATAAGARAAGGAAACTTCTTAATAACACGCGTGCCATGTAAATTCCTGATTGGGCTATTTTTAGTAACCGGATGCAGTTTAAGTTTTGCCTTACCCCACTCCCGTGTGTCATCAACTTGTGCGTGTGCACTCTTTAGGTTTATTGTTTTGATCACTAAAAATGAAATATATTACACCCACCCTATCGAATGGGTGACTAATGAAAAAGATGTCAGTTAACTGGAGTTTGACTGCATCCTTCACTTTTCTTTCCTTTAAAGATACTTGATAAGAATGGAGGAAATGAGACAAAGCCTTGATATCATCCTACAGGTATGTGCAATCAGTTCTTAAAATGTCTTCTCTCAGCCAATCAGAATGCAGAATTTTAATACTCCACTTGCAGCCAATCAGCAGGTTTTGTAATAGTCTTCTTGCAGCCAATCAGAATGCAGAATATCTAATAGTACTTACGTTTGTCAATCATAATCTTTTTGGCTTTATTCGTAATTTGAAGAAACTAACATTTAATTAATTTGTTTGCCAGTGCTTGAACAAAATGCCCCCAGGTGAAATCAAGGTGGAYGATGCTAAGATATCTCCTCCAAAACGAAGGGAAATGAAGGTACAAGATAATAGGATCATGTAAAAGAAATAAGCTATTTCCAAAAATAATGAAGGTTATCTAAAATAATGGTTACAGTGGCAGCAGAATGAAATGAAAAAAAGGGGGAGGGGGTGAAAGTAATTGAAGCAAAATGCACCTTGACCAGGATGAGGTCTTATACCAACACTTCCAGAAAATCCTATATGGTAGATTTTTTTTTATAATGCTTATTTTGGCTATTGTCTTGGTATTCTCAAAGGACATTTGTATGTGACAAGACATCTTGGAAAGGATTGTGGTAGTTTAGTTATATGAAATGTCATGAGGGTTAGTGTGTGTTCAAATGCCTCTTAGACTGATCCTCTTGACTGGTCATATTGACTGATGATGGTTCATCTAATATCACTTTTATCATTTCAAATCTATTGTATAATCCCATAAAATATCCATACCCCACCCACGGAGGAAACTGAAAATTCTGGGGGGGGGGGGGGGGGAGTTAGAGAAAGAAACAAAATTATAGAGTTTGTATGGAAGAAAATTGGAAGTTCCTGGGGGTAGTGGCATCCTTTTACAAATTTCCTCCATGGTGGGGGTATGGATATTTTCTGGAACTACGCATTAAACTTTAGCTGTTTTATCACAGTGTGGGACAGTCACAACAGAGCTGGACTCCAACAACTCTACTCACATATGACACCAAGCCTGTCAGGACTCAAACTCTGGTCACATTGTGAAAGCCAGCGCATTRTCAGTGCATGCCACTTATGCTTCCCTTAAATTGTCTTTGTCTCTCTTTGTTAGGAATCAATGGAAGCCCTGATCCATCATTTTAAACTTTACACTGAAGGCTATCAGGTGCCAGCAGGAGGCACATACACAGCCATTGAAGCCCCTAAGGTAAGTTTCTATACTCTAACCTTTGTTATAAATTACTGTCACTTTTTTGGACAAAAAGAAGTGTGACTATCAGGGGGAGGGGTGAGGGTAGTTGCTACTTTCTATTCCAGGGGGAGTTTGGTCAGTTTGTTCATTAACAATTCTTGGTTTGCAATCAATCCCAAGAGAGCACAATAACAAAAGGGATGTCCGCCATGTTGGAAGATATAACAAAAGAATTCATTGAAAAATCTTTTGTCAAATTCTTCCAACATGGCGGCTATGACGTCTATTGCAAATGAAGAGTATTGTAAGTATTCCCCAGAAAATCCTTTTTGACAATATCTTTTTTACCTTCTATTCCAGGGGGAGTTTGGAGTTTATTTAGTTGCTGATGGTACCAGCAAGCCCTACAGATGTAAGATCAAGGCCCCAGGATTTGCTCATTTGGTAAGTCAATAATATTTTTCTACTGCTACAACACCTTGATTCCCTA